GATGTGATTTGTGGCCTGTTTAGGTTAGTGTTGTAATCGAACAGTGTGCAACACATGCATGATGTACAGGGTGGTTAGTAAATGCCTGGTTAACTGGGGGGAGGTTTGTATCTACTTTCTACTGCAAGTCGTTTAAAAATCCTACTAGATCGTGGTAGCCGTGTGTAAAGCGTTTTAAAAATTTCCGAAGCTGCTTGGCAGCTTCTTCCATGTTTTCCAAAACCTCTGTTGTGGAAGTGTACCGGGTACCCAACAGATATCCAGGCCGGATCCAAATACAACTCTTCACACCGCGTGTGGGCCACGTTGTATTCAGAACCCGACTCGAACCATCTTCACCCTTTTAGCAGGTTCCTTCACCGCACTTCGCCACGAGTGCGACGACTTACTTTCGAGTTTATCGCAATTAGTGACTTTGCCCTTCCAGTCACAAGTTTGTTTATCGATGTCAAACGCCAATCCACTGGGACAGGTGATTTGTTTTAAACCGGACTTTGTACACCTGTACGTTAAAATGCTTCCTTAATATTAATGCTTGAACCAAGGAAAAGTGACCAGGAACAACTGGGTGGAACTGATACTGACGCAGAAAGGCGCTAAGCGCTTCATTCATTCGTTCATGGTCACCATTCCTTCCGTATCGACTTACTCTCGAGCTTATCGCAATTTTTAACATTTGTTTTCCAGTCGCAGGTCTGTCTATCGACGTCGAAAGCCAAACCGACTGGACATCGAACTGATGCCAGTCTGGTCACGCCGTTATTATCACTATTAAAATCACACCTGTTGAGAGAAATCACAATTTAAATAAGCGTTTTCGGTCAGTCTTCTGTCGACTGAATGGAGCTCTCAAGTAGATCAGTGGCAGAAAGTTCAGGTTGAATGTTCAATTTCACTTCAGTTACCTTACAACGTCCCGACAGTCTCCTTCAGTTGATAGTCGGAAGTACTCGTCGGCCGGTCGGTTTAGGCACAGTTCCTCTGAGGTGGGATCATCTGATTCGTTATCATCTTGGGCCAAAACTGCAAAAAATCACACTCATCAAATCGAATTTTTGCCGTTTTTCTTTGCCAAAACATGCTGATTTTTTGTGTCTTTTTGCGATGTATTTTAAACGCAAGAAACATAATTTTATCGAAGGTTTTTGGAGCGAAAACTTAAGCTTTCCTGATTTAAAAAAAGTTGTATCTTGGAAACCGGGAAAACATTCGATGTGCATTCAATACCCTTTAGATCGGACGCTTGCTTTTTTATTTTAGGTTTGAGCGAAAATTCCAAACCTTTTTTTAAATGTTGATATATAGAAAGTAGTTATGGCAAACATTACACTGATATAATTTTTTTTGGAAAAAAAGTCTCCGTAATAATTTTAAAGCGAATTTAAATTCAAATCAGATATTTTCCGCCAAAAACGCCCAATCCGTATCGTTGGTTGCCTATCCCGATTGTGACGTAGCAGGTCATATCAACAAAGTGTCTCGTGTTTATTTTGTTGCTTTCGCAGCTTTGTTTTATTATTTAAGTTATTGCGATTATCATTATTTTATTGATTAATATTATTATCTTGCATAATGGAAAATAGTGCCATGTATGGATCACAAAATAAGTGCTATTTTGTGCCAGGATGCAAGAATACATCTATAAGTGCTCCAAACAAATTCTTCCTAACCGTTCCTCATGATTATGCATGTAAAGTTTTATGGGTGAAAGCAGCTAGACGTGATGTTCCTAAATCAAAATCAATGTTTTTTTGTTGCGAGAACCATTTTAATGAAAGTACGAACAAAAAGCTGATGATGAGGCAGATAGAATATGCCTCCGATCGTACTTTGTGTTCTGGACAAATTCTACCTTGTACAGTGCACAAAGAACCCTCGCGTTTCAATTCCACATATCCGATATCACCATATTGTTCTCGTGATGTCCAAAATACAAATTTAAGAGTTCATTTTACTTTTAAAGCAGACATGTGTATACGTTAGGTTAAGTTGAATAAGTGAAATTCTATATATTATTTACCTAATTTAAACCAATACAGACAGATTAGTATATTAAGGAGAGTATAACTAATAATGATATTACGGATTTTTACTTAAGCTGGTGCTTTGACACCCTTAAATTCTGCTAAATTAAAGCGTTCGTCGTTTTTTCAAAATTCGGTAACCATAAAAATATGTACACTTGGTAAATTGTTTGTTGACGCTTTAAGGAAGCCTTCTGAAGCCGTTTTTTAGTATAACACAAACTATAAATTATTTAAATCCACAAAATAATTAATGAAACACAACCACACACCTAAACATTATGCACAGAACGTAAACAATCCGCCATTTATATGACCAGAGACGTCACAACCAATAGGATTACGTTTTAGAGATTCATGAATAATTTGAATTTTAGCTGAATTTGTTTATTAAATATTTAACAAAATAGCAATAGATAGATAGTATACACTTATTGGATCGTTCAAATTTATATATTATCATAGATTAATGTTCAGTTTGTAGGAATTGTTGATACAAGATAACACCCTATTGCCTTAAAACCGCTCATAACTCAAGAAGAACAACCTTTCGCAAATTAGGATTGATCAAAAATTCATAACCTCCAAAGAGGAAGAAGCTAATATCAGAAAACCAGCTCAAATTGCCTCAAAAGCGCTCATAACTTGGAAACTAGTGAAAATAGCAAACGCA